AAAATTACGATGAATAATCCAACTTCTTCCTCCAAGGAAGTCTAGTGTGATAAACGATTAAAATTCCAAATGTTTCTTTATAATTCTTAATAATCCGAATAGTTCCAAAATATATACGTTCAGATGAATATTTCCAAAGTATAATCCACGAAAGAAGAAATTCCAGACTGTAGATTTTATTTCGACAGTGGCTGTCCCAATTGTTTCCAATAGAAACACTCCTGTACGCCTTTCCTAGTTCCGGGTCCCAACCAATGCAAAAAAGGACAAAATTCTAGGAGAAAACGTCTCTGTATTATTAGAAAATGGAAATACAAAGCCTTACGGAATTTGTGTTTCTTCCAGGGTTAAGTTACTCCGCAGAGTATCCAACACAATAGCCGATAAGTGACACTAAGTCCAGCAGCCACCGCGTCCGTCCAAAAATGTGGCGGTAGCCATATTATATCAAATTTAAACAATATATGTACAGTTCAGAAGCAAACCCAAAAACTTCAATATAAGTACAAATATAGAAAGAATAACAATATACAATGATAAAATCTCAAATTGGAATCAAATAAAATACCAAAAATGTCAAGAGAAAAAGTCCATCATGTCATAGCAAAAATATGTAAACATGGAGGGATTTTCCAAAACACAAAACATTCAAAAAGAATTCTACAGCTTGCAGCCAACAACGTTTCAACCTTCAGCTGAGCAGCCTAACTGGGAACTGGTGATAATCACAACCTTAACATAACAGGATAGAATAAAAAGTCAACTTCTAAGGCAATGAATTTAGGTTTTGACATTAAGATTGTGGTGGTGTTTCGTTCTCTGAGCTGGTTGTTTTGGTTGTGAAAGCTCCACAACCAAAACAACCAGCACGAAACGCTACCACCCAATAAATGCCTTGACACTTCCGTAAAACGGTTTGATTGTTCGACTTTCCACCTATGTCATTAAATACATAATTATTCTGGTGAAACTTATTGACTTCGCGGGTAGCGATTATCAGGTTGGTAACCTTCTGTAGCACTATAGATAGTTTTAACGACTGGAAACGAGGTACATCCGAGACAGAATTATCCACTCCTCATTACGACATTCAATCAGACGCGTGATAAAATGATGAAATGGGTTCATTTCAGATGTCTTCGTAAGCCATCGTAGATTCTGTCTTGCTCTGCATTCTTATTAGTCATTTTATTGTTTTGTCGCTCTAGCTGTTTCAGTGAATCAAATTTTCACCAGATAAACAAGAGAGATATTTGATTCTGACCAGTCGGGCTATTGGTTTCGTGTTTTCGATCTGAAGGCTCATGCTTCATGGTTTTTAGTCAAAATTAAAGCTTTTATCATGAGTTGCTTTTCAGACTTGAGCCTCGTGTCAAAGGTCAATAGTATTATCAAATCCAAATGAGGTTTGGATTTAGGAATAAGGGTGCAGAAAGTTAGATACGCGCCTTGCCCAGTTGATCCAAAAAGAAAGCAATTTATCTGGGTTAGTAAAGTTTGTCATGGCTATTTGGATCAGTATTCGTAGTTACACTCAAACCTAGATGCGACTGACCATCACCTTATAACTCCGAGCAAACATCAGCTGTATCTGCTAAGCTACCATCATCCTTTGCTGCAGCACTATGGTACTCAGTGGAACTAGATACAGTAGTACGCAAACATTATTAGGTGCTGTGTCACCGCTCACGCTTCTTATCCTAGGATCAGCTCTATGTCGTGGCAAACAATCCACCACATGTGGAGGATTCCGCTCACAAGCTTTGTTCAGTACAGTCCAACCTATTTCATTTGTTCGTTTATGTTCACTACCTTCTTCACCGTTTGTTTGCTCGAATCCAAATTCCTATTCCTTAAATTCACATCTCGAAAAGATAAAGGACGTCCACCATCACGTTTATCCGATCCTTCATGATCTCTAAACGTTTTTATTTCTCCCCTCATTGTTATCTTCGAAACAGCCACCTTGTCTTCTATAGATCCTGACTTTTCAATGGAATAGACATCAGCAAGCTCTACATCATAAGGCTTACGTACTCGGTCATCCGGTGACTTTACTTGGCTAATATGAGTTGCATGAAGTGAGGTAAGAGCTTCAATATTCTTTCCAAAGTTACTAAAGAATTCAAGTCCGCAGTATAGTTCATTTGTTCCAAAACCACAGCACAATTTTCCATTCTTATAGCTAAGTTCGATAACTGATCTGCATCATCAGAATCAGCATTTCATAGATTAAACAGTTCTCCTAAACTTTATTTGGCTATCACATGCGATGGCTCGAAAAGCCATTTTAGAACTTCCTCAAACTTCTTATAACCAACACCTGCTTCCATCATGATGCAACCTTCAATGACTACTTTTGCCTTATCCTCGCAGCAATAAATCAAGTATAATAATCGAAGGCTATCATCATCGACTCGGGACTCTACATAAGTATCGAATTGTCTCATAAATTTCCGATACTCACGTGGTTGTCCATGGAAGTAACTTAACTCAACCCTGGGTAGTTCTAGACCTACAACCGGTCTCATAGACATTACATTTTTTAGCACCTTGCCCAGTTAATCCAAAAAGAAAGCAATTTATCTGGGTAAGTAACGTTTCTATTATTAATCATGAATACAGATAAAAATTATTACCTAAACAATATTACACCTTATTCCTTCCCTAATAACGCAAAGTGTTTCTAATTCTGGAAGTGGCTCAAAATATTGATCTATATTGCACCCTTCCAGTCCAGATAAGCGTATCCGGCTATTGCCATGATTACGTATCAACTTAAACAACATAATACAGTTCAGGAAGAAACATAGAAACTCAAAAAGGGTAAAAAACAGAAACTATAACAAAATACAGATTTCAACATCGCAAAATGGGATTAAACAGACCATCGAAATGTAGAACAAAAAGAGTCAACAAGTATATATTACAAATGTCTACATGGAGGGATTTTTCCAAACAAAGCCTTCCAAAAAGGATTCTTCAACTTATAATCGCGATTGGTTAAATTGTGAAACGGTTCAGAAATGAAGTTGTTTTACATGTTTCAAAATGCTGTACTCAATATCCTTGGCTAAAGATAAGTTAGATATAATTGGTTTGGAAACTTTATAATGCCATCACTGATGGATGATTAAACTTTAGACAAACTTTATAAGATTAACTTACTTAGAAGTAGTACGTCATGATAGCGCTTTCAAATTCCTTTCAAATACACATGACTACGATAAACTACACTGCACTAATCAAGTGTAAAGTATGCTACCGTTGGTCAGGCTCAGTAGAATTGATTTTGGGAACCACAGTACGTGACACTAATACCATCAACTTCAAGGCATGAACTAAAAGCCATAATAAAAGCTATCATTTCAGATATTATTGTTAGGCATTGAACAAACGAAACAGCTTGTACATTCCATTGGTTTAAATAACGTGTTATATGGATGTGATATAAATTCAGCCAAATAAAGATGCCTTTAATTTATCCTTTCCGGAAATATTTTGACCACTGCGATTAGTATAATGCACCTCTATTATTTGAAGCTGTACGGTTGTTTTGCAATAATGGATGACAGTGCGTCAATGAGTGATCATCGGAAATTATAGCTTTGTCGTCCTTCGTTTTATGGAGTTACAATTGAAGTAGCCTAGCCATATAATCCAATGGAAACTTTTATTGCTCTGTTGAGCAATTCACAGAGCCTTCGCACTATCTTAAAACCACGCGCGATAAGTTCACGTTACAGGAAAATAGGATCTTTTTTTCATTTCTGAATAAATGTGTCGGATTTTTATATCATCCTTGGCCTTAGAGTGCATCACGTTTAAAATTTCATTCACAGCATTATAGCAGGTTTATGGTGCATTTCATTTCAAAGAGACTAAGGTTTCTTCCGAAGGGCTATATAGCCAGAGGTATCGGTCTTAAAAACGAACGAATGGAAATTATTCAAGATTTCAATCAGATTTTACGTTGAATGTGAGACATTTCTACTTGCTATGTAAAGTAGCAAGGAATCCATTTTCTGATTCAAGTCGGGTGATTTTGACTAGAAACCACTTAGTGTTTTAGCACCAACCAAAACACCCAGCTCAGAGAACCAAACACAACCACCACAACTAACATATCTAATACAAGCTATATTGAAAGCGAAGTATAATCGAAATTCCAGTATAAAAATAAGTTATAGACTTACACTATTAAAATGGCTAGAACATTCTTCAAATTACTTATTGGGAAAATATAATGAGAAGGCCTTCTTTCGATGGAATGTGACTTTGATCGTCGGCAAATGCAATACCTGAACGTTCTTCTGACAAAATTAAACGAGAGATTAGCACCATATCTTACGCAGACTGGACGCATAGGTCAAATCACTTCAACCTCCCTAAGTTTGAAGTCAACTAAGCCGTTATTTAAGCCCTGACCCAAACTTATGATTGCATGCTTATTGCTGGAGCTGTACGTCAGTAATAAAAACTACTGCGTCTGAATTTATGCTCGTTGATTTCAATTAGGAAGGGTAACTGGCCTCATACTAGGCATTAGGAGACCTCTATCACTGATTTATAAATGATTGTTATTTAAAAATCCATTTTTTCACAACAGACAGTGTGGAGAAGAAAATGTAACTTGTCAGATAGGAAGATCAGGTTCATGTGTATGGAATAATTCTCACTACTAAGAGTTAAAGGCTTTAAGCACTTGATCATTCAGCTAAAGCTTATTTATTACAGTCAAAATAATGAATATGATGCTAAGTTCAGTTAATGAATCGTACCAAAATCAGTTTTTTGAAATTTACACACCCCCATTAAACGATTTTCAAAATTGGCTCCTCAACGGTTAGTAAGGCTTTGATAATAAGTCGTCGTAATCAACCTGAATAATTTTTTATAAACGTCGTTTTAAGAATTAGTGATTCATTTCTTTTTTCTGCCTTATATGACACATAAATTTCGCCATAAAGACCATTGCTTCTAAGTGACTGATTATGAATGGCGGCAGCTCTACAATTGGGTTTGCATAATAAGACGCTTGTGTGTTTCATTTTGTCTCTGTTGCAAGTCCTCTTTCTCCGCTGAAGCAAGCAGTATCATAGCATTACCTATTCTTGTTGTGATTAATTTGGGGTACGCATCTTTATCACAACCTTCACACTCACAGCGTTTATTCTACCAAATGAATACAGCTTATGGCAGGAATAGGACAGTAAGATCTTGTGACTACATCCTTAACCTCGAATTTTAAAAAATTTAGGCGTTTCACTTCTGCTGACCACTCTGTTCCCTGGAACACACAGACTCAGTATGTTGCACATTTCCTCATTCATAATTCATGCAGATATAATATGGGGAGGGCTATGGTACATGATTACAATAAACCCGTCACCACTTACGGCAGCAATTTTACTAAAAGGGTAAGCTTTTCAAATCTTAATAATCTTAAGTGCCTGGATTTACATCCGCCTTTCATTATTTTTAAAGACGAATTCGTTTCCTGCCAATCCTCTACTCGCTTATGTATATATTTTTACAGACATTGAATTTAAATAGATCATGATGGTGTTCAGTACATAGTCTGTTTAATGAACTCCCTACTTAATAGCACCTTTCATGGTTCCTTTGTGTCCGTTTTGATTGCTATAAAGAATAATCACCAGTTCACAGTGCTTCTGTATTAATTTCACCAACTCTGTTTCCCAACAAATACCATTACTCTCCTTCCACTTCCCTAGTGACTCTCTATTCTTCAGTTTTACACACGTACTGTGTCCTCATTAGGTGCCACACAAATGTAGAGTTCGTTTAAAATATCTACCATAATACAGCTGGGTTATGGTCTGACAGTCTTCAGCTTAGCATACAATATCATTCCTGTGATTCGTCACCATTGACTCTCGTCATTTCACCAGCTATACTCTAGTTATAAATTCATTAGTAGTGGGAATAATACTACCAATATCGGGGTACATGGTCTTGAGTGATCCTCTTTGCTGATTGTTGGTAAATACATTTTTATCGTTTGTGAGACTGCTGGTGTGTAATCTGAAAATTTAGCCAGCTTATTGCGAATATGTTGTTCTAGAACTAGACACCTTGTCACTCTTTAAAGGGTTCTTGTTACTTAAAAATTCGGTTAACAAACACCACTGACTGATAATCTGTAAATTTCCAAACAACTGCCTACACTTCATTTCGTGCTGGAAATTATTTATCGTTATCTTACATTATCAAATGAGTAAAGTTGGTGGATATTTGTTTGATGGGTTATAACGATTTGTCGTCTAATCCAACTACTACGTTGCTAGTCAGCGATACATGTAAGCATGTAGCTTTGAAGGCGCTTTGCATGTTCTTGTCCTTGTTACGTTGTAACGCAGCATTACAGGACCTCATCTGCATCTAATCAGTTATGGGCTTGGAAGCTATTCATCGCATTAATTTCAGTGGTATTTACTAATGTCCTTGTTCAGATACGAGGAGCCCATCTACCTATGTAAGCTGCATTAAGAAGTGGCTCGTGATCAACCAGACTAAGTATATAAATATGTAGTGGTTAGTTTTAACAAACTTTGATAAAATAAGGATGTAACAGTATAAAGATATACAAGAAATATTAGTAGATATAAGATTAACAGACGAAAATTTACTACGTTCAGACTACAGAGTAAAACGGGGAATAAGTGCATCTAGATCATTCTTCAACTCCAAATCAAACCCAAAGTCCTTAACCATTATTTAACAATCAAGTTGAATCCACAACTAGGCAGTATTTATGTCTACTGACAACTGCTGGCGAATTCATAAGTATGTACTTGCAGTCACTGGTAAATACAGTTCAACTGAACCACACTTCATTTAACCGGGGTCACTTCTTTTGGTAGATAGTAGCTGAACGTAAATAACACTCCGGTCAACTTATTTGGCGTCATTTCAAAAGCGTGTCGTCTTTGTTTATAGTCCTACTGGTAAGCACCATTGGTTACTTGGCGGCCTTACCGTGCCAGTCATATAAGGACAAATCGTTCTACTGTCACAAATGCTCTAACTTGCCACATGCTAAACAAGACTTCTCTGTCCAGGTTTTCAATGGTTATCGATCTCAACATTGCATACTATGTTACTACTTTGGTGATAGAAAAACATCGTGAATATCTGCTTATGAGTTTTTTTATAGGTGCGATTTAAGTTCAATGAGATGTTAAAAAAGTTATATAGAGTGGTTTTTACAGTACTCTTATCTATAAATTAATTAACATGCCTGTTGGTCTAAATCATATTTTCTTATTTTATTTACACTAGTCTCTGTTTGGTTCTGGTAATCCGGTGAATTCTGGCGCACCCAGTTTTAGTGATATTGCAACTCTTCCAACGAGTGGTTATAATTCTCGACCTGGGTCTTCCCAGCGTAATGGTGAGCTTATCAGTTCGATACCAAATGCATTCTCTGGAAGAACGACATATCCTACTGCACTAGATTCTAGTCTAGAAAATGGTCCTTCATATTTTAATGCATTAAATTACAACAATAGTCAAACCGGTCCTCCAAGAAATTTCTCCGAACCTTCTCTTTTCCCTTCTTTATCTACTATCAATCGGACAGCTGGAAATGAATTAACAAACAGAGTTGGACCTGGAAGTATCACTCCGTCAGTTCCTATGAATAGTGCTATGGTCCTGGCATCTTCTCGTAACCCTGGAAACCTTTATTCAAACTCAGTTGGAAATGAGAATACTTCAAATTCCACAAATCTTTCTTTATCTTCGTCTTCACGTGGCGTTACTTTAGATCCTTCAGAATTCCCTCCAATTTTAACATCAACTGGACGGAGTGGGAATACTTCAGTACCTTTTCATTCCTCTGCGAACCAACCTCCCTTACGGAACTATGTTTCCATTATGTCAAAGGTGTCTTCAACCATAGACCAAAGTTTAAATCAACTGAGTCAGCAATTTAGTCATTCTTCAATTAGCCAGGCAGCTCCTTTGGAATTTTCAAAGCAGGATTTCCCAGCTTTACCTGGTTCACATCAGCCTACCACTAGCACTACTACGACAGTGTCGACGAGTGCCTTAACGGTTAACTCAACATCTGCTCATCGTTCTTTATCAGCTAGCTCCGTAACGCAAACACCTGCCTCCACGAATTCTCGGAGATTATTTAGTCATACATCCAGTAACGTTTTAGGACCGTCATCAGTCCGTAATCAACCGGGATATTCAAATGTTCCGTCTAAACCTGTCGGCTCCTCAAATGGTATACAGTTACTTCCCAATCATTTAGTCACAAATATTCCTAAAAATATGATTTGTGATCAGTTCGGAATGTTGGGTTTATTGAAACTTATTCGCGTTGGCGATTATGATGCAACGTTAAATATGCTGGCTCCTGGTTTAGATTTATCCTCATTACATAGTAATTGGCAGACACCTGGGTAAGTTTGAACATTCTTTGTACATGAACTCATGTTTAGTTGAATAGTTCTTGTTCAAACGAAATGTTCAGGTTACGGTCTTTATGTGATTTTTATCATGTTTAAACAAACGTATTTCAAGGATTGCTGAGAAATGAAAATTTAAGAGCATAGAAAAAAGTTTTTGGTTGTATTAGAACAACTATCAATGTGTACCATCTATGAAGAGTGCACTTTCGGTGTTCACGCACTACCAAATAGTGCTCGTGCACCACCACCTAATTTCTATTCACTTTTTCGACCCCAACTTTTATTCTTATTTACCGTTGCCTGTATTTAGTATGGCCGGAATTAAATTATTAATCTTGGCATTTCTATGTTTCATCTCCTATTCTGCTTTGATCAATTTGTTCTGACCCCCACACACATTGTTAATACACGATGTAATATCTAGTATGCTATAGGTAAATATGCGTTTTAGGAAAAGGATGGTCATATGAAATTCATAATCGCAGATTATCATGATTCATTAGCTTCAGCAATGAACTAAGATTACATAATGAGTAACTTCTCGTCATTAATTATAAATTTTGTTAGTCAAGAGTTTTCGGCATTTGTGTTAAATTGAATTTTCCCCATCTAAAAAATAAACGTAACCGTACAACTTGTTAGTTATTATCCAACTAGCTAAACCTTAAGCTTTCATGGAACGTTTTTGCCATAGCTCATGTCTATCTTTAATGTCGTAAGAGTATAATAACTCTTGTTTATATTATATCTATTCTATCAGACATAATTTGTCAGTATACACGGATTGTTTTCACTCTTTCACAAAAAAAGTGTTCATTAGGTCATCAGATAACTAACTCCTTTGTTTGTCTGACATTATTGTTGTCTTGTTCTACTAATCAAAAATGTTGGAGATACATCAGGATTTGAATATTGGCAATTTCGTGTCATTAATCTTATGATATGTCTGCTATAAGAATGTGTGATACAAACTAATACTTTTCTGCATTATACCACTGGGACTATAAAACATTTAGACAATAAGTACTAATGCGGTTTATTCATTACCAGTTTTGTTTGTTATTGGAGTTGGTTTAAGTCATTGTACAGGTTTTTTAGTGCCTTTTTTTCAAGTTATTTGGCTAGTTAAAAAACCTACTTACAAACACTAGATATCAACTCTGTCGATTTTTCCACAAGAGGTTCATGTTATCAGGATTCCTTGTGCGCAAGTGCAAAATAAAATCCATTCTAATTTTATTTTGTAAATTAAATCATTTCTCCCATAATTAAACCCTTTGTTGTTGACGTCCATTCATACATGTTATTTAGTTTGACTAAATCAGATTAAGGTGCTTGAATAGTAAAACAGTCAGTCAGTCAGTCAGTTGCAACGTAGAACTTCGTACGTATGTACATAAGTTCAGGTTGCCATACCACATTAGCACAGAGACGCAAATGTCAAATCAAATCCCATAGTGATAAAGATAGTAGAGGTATTAATGGTAATGAAGAAGACTAGGGTTTGAAGATATTATTCAAGAAGTATAATTCAGTGAGATAAGGTTAGAAAGACAAAAGTAGAAGTGCTGGCGATTCCAGAAGATTAGGATTTGAGAGAGCACAATGAATGGATGCACTTGCGTCATTGCAAACGATTTTGAGCCATGTCGTTCAAGGTCTCTAACCATTGGTGACTTTCGTCTCGCGGACCCCAACCAGGTAGTCGACAATTACCGACATGACTCAGTCCACTTGTCAAAGACTTGATGGATTTGTGTCATTTTTGGTTTGGCCGCCCCTAGCTTTTTTCCAACCTACTCCTACACCACAAAACATAGCTCGTCGAGACAGTCGGTGGTTAGGCATTCGTAACACATGTCCCAACCATCTCAACTAATGAAGTTTCACCACTTCATCTATTGATTTGCCATCCCTACTTAGTACCCGTTTTCTAACAACAGCATTGCTTACTCGGTGGTCCCATGATACATGAGCAATGCTTCTAAGACATCTATGATCGAATACTAGTAACCGACGGAAGTCCTCTACCCTTAACGGCCATGTTTCTCATGCGTATAGTAGGACGGAGCGAACTACTGCACGGCACACTCGACCTCTGGTTAGCGAACGGATATCTCGCCTACACCATAAACGATGCGAATTGGCAGGAGCGAATCGAGCTTTCTGTATCCGCGCTGAGATTTCGTCAGTTACCAGGCCATCAGCATTGATGAGACTCCCCAGATAAGTGAATCGGTCTACACGTTCGACTACTTCACTCCCTATCACTAGTTCAGGTGCGGATGCGACCCAGTCTTGAAGCAACATTTTGCATTTCGAGGGGGAAAACCGCATCCCGAACATGCTCGCATTGTTTCTTAGGGTAGTCAGAAGACTGCTTTTTATCAGCGTCTTCACCAAGTAGGACTATGTCATCGGCATATTCTAAGTCAATAAGCGAGCCACCTGGTAAAGGTCTACTTCTGAAAATTCAGACGAGGATAATGTTATTTCTAAGAGGACGTCTACGATAAAGTTAAACAAGAATGGAGAGAGTGGACATCCCTGACGGACACCACTTGATTTAGAGAATTCAGATGACAGTTCGCCATAAGCTCTCACTCGACCAGTGGTGTTCGAGTAAAGGGCTTGTATGAGGTTAATGTACTTCTTTGGTACACCTTTCTATAACAGACACTGCCACAGAACCTCACAATCACAGAGTCAAATGCCGCCTTAAGGTCCAGGAAGACAACTATTGTCGGACGTCTAAATGTGTGTCTGTGTTCCAGGACCTGTCGTGGTGTGAAGATGTGGTCTATACAACCACGTCGAAGTCTGAAACCAGACTGGTTTTCTCTAGTGTGCTCTTCATGAGCTCTAGTTAGGCGTCTAAGTATAATGGAGGCTAACAATTTAGAAACTATATTAGTTAGACTTATTCCCCTGCGATTGTCACACGATGACTTTTGTCCTTTCTTGCAGATTGGGACAATTAGCGACTGAGACCATTCAGATGGGATTACGTCCAGTTCCCAGATTCTACCTAAGATCTCAGTCAGTCTAACTGTTAAAACTGGACCACCATCCTTAAATATCTCATGGGTCAGTCTATCAAGACCTGCTGCTCTACCTCCCTTTAGATTTCCTATAGCTTTCTCAACTTCATGTAGACTAGGAGGACTTGAATCGATTTGCCATTCAGGATGACTGGGAATCGTGGGCAACCGAAGTGTGGCTCGAGGCCAGTTGAACTGGTCCCTGAAGCGTTCTGCTTATCGGTCCAATCTCCTGGATTGAGAATAAATGATACAGCCATCCTTTTCTGAGATAGTCTCACTCACATTCGGGTTCCTAATACCGGTTTCTTTGATAAGGCGGAAAAGTTGTCTACTGTTGCCTATCGCCGCTGCCTTTTCCATCGCTTTTGCTTACGCCACCCACCACTGTTCGCGGTCGTTACATAGGCTTGTTATCAGTTTACGCTTCAGCTGACCTCGCTTTTCGTCATGTTCAGAGTCAGGTGGGATGCGTTTTCGAGCATCCATCGGTTCGGTGGATGCGACTGAAATCCACGGCTTCATTCTAGCCTTATGGTTAACCTTGCTAGCAGATGTCACTGCTGTTTCCACAGCCCTTTTGATATCGTTCCAACCTGACTCCGGATGGGAATCACTTACATGGTCGCCTAACTGTTTTTCTAGTTCCTCCTGAAATATTTTCTTAGTTTGATCATCAATATGTAGAGCCCTAAGAGGTTTTCTTGCGATATTTTTCTGGCGTCTAGTAATCCTCAAAGAAATACGCGCTCGCACTAGAGCATGATCTGAACCTAAACATGTGCCTCAGAATGAGCGACAGTCCTCTATCGGTGGCTGATGGCGATATGATCTAGTTGCGTAGAACGTTGAGACGACTTTGGGGGTCGCCAAGTCAAAAGATGTTTTTCATTATGCTTAAAATTAGTGTATGCTAGAAATGGGCGGTTATCTGAGCATACTTTCAACAGACGGTCGCCATTGTCTGTTCTCTGAGCCGCGACACCATAAGATCCACCCAGGTGTCTTTCATTTTCACTTAGTCTACCTACTTGAGCATTGAAGTCACCAGCTATTTTAACTATATCAGAGCGCTTAACTTTTTGGAGGAGGTCCGAAAGCTTTCTGCAAAGCTCATCTTTCACATCGTCTAAAATTCAGTCAGTGGGGGCATAGGCAGATACGACGAAGAGGCAACGACGAGTGTCCCTATCCTTCCGAATCCTTACTGTCCCGTTTAGTCGGACGGCGCACAAGTGACTAGCTACAGGGATCCAGTCTAGCAGAGATAGTTCTGCCCTACGACTCAATACTATACCTACACGAGCGAGACCCCTGGAAGCAGCATCAGGGCTACCGGATACACGAAGGATAAATCGAGCTGCTTCTTTATCTTGACATAGTGAGGTCAAGTGAATGATGCTACTCGGATCCTGTATGCGCGTTTCGGAGACGCAGCATACATCGATAGCGCAAGATTCTAAAGTCCTAGCTAGTGAAGCCTGTTTCCCTATTTGACACAATGTCCGTACATTAAATGCTCCAACATGTAGTTTAGAACGGGGTTTAAGGAGACCAGGAATAACGTTCCGAGGACTCGAATCGTTTGCAGCAGAGGTGCGGGTAGATGAAGGAATGTGAGAAGAGTTAGTCGTGGAGATAAGAGAGATAATAGGGGTTGTAGGAAGGATTCGGTTTCGACCAATTTGGTCTCGTGTGCTGTTATGGGTATGAGGGTTGTTGTCACTTCCCGGTTGCCCACACCATGGAAGGGTGTTTCTTGAGGAACCTGAAAAGTAAGGTGGATTAGAGTTGGTCTTAGAGACCTGGAAGCGTGACCGCAGAGCCCAAGGGAAAACTGCTTGAGTCCGGTCACGCACGGCCTTTTTATGAGAAGTTTTTTTGAGTATTAGCTCCACTCTTAAAACCCTTAGTGGGCACCCTTACCCAAGGAGACGGAAATCCGTGAGGTGGGGTGTGGCATTTTTACGGTCGACCTTTTCTAACCATTCCTTCCTTGTGAGAAGGCAGCATCGCTGCAGATGCCGGTCGTCCGAAGGAAACACCTTACTGCTGTCACACCTCTCTACAGTCAGCAGTACGACTTCTCCCTCAGACCTTGAGTAGCTGCTTTTAGTCTCATCATTCTCCAATCGAGCTGACTGGCATGGTAGAACCTTCAGGAACATATGTTCCTGCCAGTATAGCTCAGTTTGGTCATCGCGATAGACACGCCAGACCACCACGTCAAGGTAGCAGCTACGGTCGGGGAATAGTAAAATATGTATCCATCAGAAGGGCGATTTCGAAGATACTTAACAACAGTACATCGACAACAGATGCAAAAGCCCGCATAGTTTAGGTAGTATTTTCCATTGTTTTGTTCCTCAAAACTAGGATATTAGTAATTCCCAGTATGTGAGACATTGAGAGTTCCATTCAAGTGTATAAGTAATATGAAACTGTTAGTTGAAGTGTTTGTATTAATTTTCTAGTTTAACTAAGTTGTTTGCTACTCTAAACTCTATCCAGAAAAAATGCTTACTTAAAATTTCTATGACATAAGCACGCATTTATCGATCAGACTGATTTTTTTTCTCTCTTTTGCAGTGAACTTCACACCACCTTTGTTTCACCTTTTCACGATTCTTGTTTTGGACGACCACAAGATATGGATTATCCTGTTCCACCGGAATATCTTATACGACATCTAGTTACAGATCGTTTACCTGATCCACCAATGAATCAATTATCAGAAGAGACATTGTTCTGGTTATTTTATAATTGTTGCCGTGAAGAAACTCAGTTAGTTGTAGCGAAAGAACTGTAAGCTCTATTTGTTAATTTATTTTTTTTTAAAAATAATCTAATTAAAACTCAAAAAATTGTAAATTTGATAGTTATTTTTGTTTTTCTTGTTCGTTTTAATGATTTTTAAAGAATTCTGTTGTAATCTTTCATTTTTATGTGCATTCAGTCTACACACAAAAATCTTATGATTTGCCTCTGCGGAATAATCAGTTTTTAATTTAAAGCATTAATTGCAACTTCTTAGCCGAGTAACAAGTTTCCTAGTTTTATAATAGAGCTGTGGCTTAGTAGTTCTCGACCGTAGCTGTTACCTTGATGTGGTGGTGGTTGGGCTTGTCTATTGTGATGACCCAACCGAGCTATATTGACTGGAACATATGTTCCTGTAAGTGCTACCATGGCAGACAGGTCAATTGGAGAATGCTGAGATTAAAAACCAGCAACTTAAGGTTCGAGGACGAAATCGTACTGCTTGACTGTAGAGAGGTGCGACAGCAGTAAGGTGTTTCCCTCGGACAATCAGCATCTGCGACAATGCTGTCTTATCAAAAAGAAGGAAGGATTAGAAAAGGTCGACCGGTAAAAATGTCACATTTCACCTTACCTCACGGATTTCCGTCTCCGGCTGTTAGGGCTCTTAAAAAGAACGAAGTTAGTGGTTAGAATGGTGTTAGAGTGTTCGATTCTCGGCCATCAAGTTTCTGGATCGAACCTAGCTCCATCTATTGTAATTTGAACAACCGTTTCATTTCTGGTATAGCTCATACCTATGTATCGATTGAATGAGTTAATTATTATAAATTATGTCGTATTCCATTGGCAATCGATTGATAGAATGTGCTGTTGGAGTCTAGCCGTATATACATATAGTTATTGATACTCATCCAAACACATGTATTATCTGTAACAACTACAGGACAATTGCGCTGAAGTCCAATTTTACTAGAATTAAATAAAAGAAGCTCTTTTTTTAATTAATTCTTTTTAGTTATACGAATTACTGTTTTTGTATGTTAGTAATACTCATATTTAATAATGTCTTACAGGAAATGGTTACAATTTTACAAACTAATAAAACATATTTATACTTTCCCAATTTTTTGTTCCTATCAAACAAAATTGCAAAATGTCATCACAACTTAACATTCTTCTATCCGTGTATATGTGTATAATGTGGGATGAATGACAAGTGTTTTTTATAGTCGCAGAAATAACTTTAATTGCATTCCGCATAATTGAAATTTAATTTGAGCGTGTAAGATAAGAATGGCAGATCAATAGATGAAGTAATGGAACTTCATCTGTTGAGCTGGTTGGGACATGTGCTGCGTATGACCAACCACCGACTGCCTCGTCGAGCTTTGTTTTGTAGTGTAGTAATAGGCTGGAAGAAAGTTAGGGGCGGCCAAACCAAAACATGGCAGAAATCCATGAAGTCATCGACGAGTAGACTTAGCCATGTCGGTAATTGTCGACTATCTGGTTGGGGTCCGCGAGATGATAATAATCGATGGTTAGAGACCTTGAATGACATGGCTGAAAATCGTTCGCAATGGCGCCGGTGCATTTATTCTTTGTGTCCTCTCAAATCCTAATCTTCTGGATTCTTCAACACCTCTAGTTTTGTCTTTGTAAACTTATCTCACTGAATCATACTTCTTGAATAATATCTTCTAATCCTAACCTCTCCGACTACTGCTAATACCTTTACTACCTCTTCTACTATTAGATTTAAATTAACAATTACATTAATGTGTTATAGCTACATGAACTGATGTACTTACTTATGAAGTTCTACGTTGCATCTGACTGACTGAATTCGAGCGTGTAACTTAAAAATTATTTTTCAAATCTTCACCACTGAACACGGATATAAGATTGTCAATAATAAGAGGGCCTCGTTATTATCCAGAAGCAAGACTAACAACCATTTTGATAATGACTCTTCTTCTTCTTAATATCTTTTTTTTTAAAGAAAAAACATTGATTTTTCCGTTTGTCTGATGATGATGTTATTAATAACATGCAGAAGAGATGTTACGTTTTCTTGTCCCTACTGCCTGTGAATGATTTACAAAATCTTCTGTTTATTAACTAACCTTCATCTATATGTGATAATTAGGTTAATCATCAGTAAACAGTTAATTTATAAAACAATCAATAATAATGCGGATTTCAAACTTGAAGTTGATTAGCTTTTACTATTTAGAGAGAAGATAATATATAAAGCTTTGATTTAATTCATTCACATATAATAAACACGCGTTATACTTACTTACTTACTTACTTGGTCGGTAATAATACAATTTAACAGTTTCATTTGGCTTTGGAATATTTCAACCGAAGATTTGTTTTACATTTGAATTCTTAAGTTTTAAACGTTAAGTCACGTTTTTTTTGTTCTGTATACCTATTTGTCTTTTAGGACGCATAAACTGTCTTAAATTTATTCTCTTAACTCATATGTATTAAACGTATACATACATATATATATAGTGTAGGCACTATTAGTGAGTTCAATCTGATTAGTTTTCTTTTAAAGCCATTGTCTAAATGTATTTATTATTCCTTAACCTTGGTTCCTTGTTTTTGTTTTGTTTAAAGCTATCAACGTGAATGGCGGTTTCACAAGAAAGAACAAATATGGCTTACTCGTATAGTTGGTGCAAATTTCACATCAGATAATAATTCTGAACAAGGTGATTATTATTTTTGGGATCCTCTTAAAGCACAAAAATCTACACATCAAATGAATATTTTATATTCAGATTTGGATAATGCACCAGCAGCATTTCGTCTTAGTTCAGGCACATTAAGCGCCTTTGTTAGTATTGGTTTACCCGGTGGTTCTCATGGTAGTGTTCCACCCCCACCTCCTCCTCCTCCTCCTCCACCACCACCATTACCACCAACGCAACAACAACAACAACAACAACAATTAGTCAATTATCATCAACATCAATCACGTCAATCACAACAAGGACAACAAACATTTTCGCATACACAACATCATCAATCGCTTATGAATAATCATAATCCTAATCCTAATAATAATAATAATACATCCGGACCATTTATTCCATTTACTGCCAATGCATCATTGACTACTGGACCATCGATCAATAATAATAATAATAATTCCTCCAATGCAGCGGCGGCGGCGGCAACACTAGCTAGTTTGTTTAACACTCGTCAACAACAACAACAACAACAGCCACCGCTTAAGCAACAGCAACAACCACAACAATTAAATTCAAATCCAAATTATTTCTCATCTCATAATCGAACTACTACTGGTCCTGTGATTGCATTATTCACTAATCGATCTTCTGCTTCAGTATCATCAATTCCTGTGACTAATAATAATAATACAGTGGTGATTGCTTCTACCGAAACTACTACATCGACTACCACTAATTCGAACTTTATTAATCGTTTGCCTAATCCATCCGTTGTTGTTAATGATAATAATAATAATGTCAACCAAGTAGTTTTTGATAATTCACAAATTTAGAGATCTGCTTTATTTAATGATTGTGATTCTTCTATAAATAAATAACTAGTGTGTGTGTGTGTGTGTATTGTTTGACACGCCTAAATGCAATCTTTCTTCTATCAAGTTCATGTGTTCATCAAAAAATTTTTTAATTTAAGAACATCTTAGTTCAATGTTAATTGTGTGTGTGTGTGTGTGAAGTTAAAATCATTGTAATTCCTTTCCGGATTCTCTCCTTTTCTTTTTTTTTGGCAACGTTATTTCTAGGTTACCTTTTTTTTCTTCTTCCCCAAAAAAACGGAGGGGGGGGGAGGTGTATATCATCACACTGAATATATATATATATATATATGTGTATACATATATTTTTCAGTTTGTGCTTAATCTTTTAATTTTGTAATGTTTCTGGTTTTCTGATGCGCTGATTCACGTGTTTTTTTTCCCACTGGTATATATATATTATATATAAATACATGCATATATATGTTGTTTTTCTCATGTTTCCTACGTAAAAAATATTCCACTATCTTTTTTTCTTAATGATATGATATATGGTATGAAAGAGATTTTCTTTTAACCTCCATTGCCTGTGTATGTATAAGAAAGAGTGTGTGTGAAGATCAGGTTATGCATCTTCCCAAATTCTGTCGTTATTTGCCCTACCCTTAAACTTATTTCTCTTATTCTACCACTTTAATCTCTCGGTCACAATTTCTCTCTATCACATGGCCTAACATTTGTTTATCTTTTTGTTTGTACACTTGCAAGAAAAACACCTCCAAAGTGTAATGTATGTGTGTGGGAGTGTGTGTGTATATGTGTATGTACACAAAATTCAACGAGACATGTGTTGTTTGTCGCAAAGCATAATTCTTTTCTATATTTGTATGCGGTGAATCAAGTCGCGATGCATCTGGTATTATTTATTTTAGTCTTCTCTTTGACACACATTTTCACTTCATCACTTAATAATAATTATTCTCTAATCAAGATAATCTTTGGTGTTATTCTCTATTATTATTATTATTATCAAATTCTTATGATGCATGTATATGTGTGTGGGGTGGTGATACGAGCAACATGTCGACTGAAAGCAATATGAAGTGACTGTATTCTTCTGTAGACATGTATGTACTATAATAATATGATAACCGCTTCTCTTTATTCTCTTTTGTTCACTTGTTCTTACACACAACTATTTCTACTACTTTAAATCCATTGTATTTCTTTCTCTTTTTGTGTGAATCTTATCTCATCATTCAACTTGTCTTAGAAAAAAATTTATTGTTTATTTTGTAAACTTTTTATCAAATAAATTAGTAAAGGATGATTTTAAATTATAATTATTTACTGTTCTTGAATTATTCTTTTTTTTCTCCAAGTTCCTCTTTTTTTTGGATTCGTTAATGGTGTGAAGAATGTCTGTATGTCAATGTAGATAGGGTAGGTTTTATTTTCTTTAGAACGTACAAGTAATTATTAATTATTAGTAGTCATATTCCGTATATAGACGCATGCATATATGTTAGTAGAGAATGGTTATTTTTCTTGATCATTCCAACTTGAATATTTCCTCTTGTAATTTTTTTTTATACTGATTGCCTTTCTTCTGGAATTGTGTCGTTTTGTCTTTGTTCTGTCTGTTTCAACTTTACACATTGCATAGAATGCTTTTTATTTGAAATATTCTTCTTCATTAAAGACACTTCTTGAAAGATTGAATAAACGTACGTATATTGCGCTTCCTTTGGGGGTATTCTGCATCATTTTTCTATTGTTTCACGCTTATACATACATATACATATTGAATACTTGATTCTATCTATCTATCTATCTTTCATTTTCCTCTTCTTGCCTTTATCTGAACTTTGTGTGTATATGTACAAAAACCTGGCCATAAGAATGAAAAAGAGAGAGAGAGAGAAAGGAAAAGATCGTGTTAGTTGTTGGTCAACTAGAGCAATTATAATAACTTAAGTAGTGTTAGTATAAATATTGTGTTGTATATCATATATATATATATATTTTTTTTTTTCGTATGGTCTTTCTCTTAGGATATCATTTTTCCAGGGTTATATATATATATATATATTTATGCATATATAAATGTAATAATAACTTACAAGAGTTTTTGCCTCCTTTCTTACATTGTGTCTAAATTACATTGTACTTTGTCTATTTGTCTGTTTGTGTGTGTGTGTGTATCTTGCTTGATCAAATAGAGGTAAATATTCCTTAAAAAATATAGATATATGAATTGTTTTATAATATTATCGATGTGCATCATATAGAACTTTCGTACGTTTACCAAGTGTATAAAACCGAAAAAAATAATTGTTAATTTATAAGTTTCCACTTGAGTATCTGTTTTGTTAATCTAATAGTTTCTCCCTTGACAGATTTAAAATGTAGATACTTTTAATGTCATAGGGATTCGCGATGCATTTCTCTACTGTTTTTCACACTAAATAATTAAACTTTCAATAATTTTACAAAGGATTATTTTCAGTTAAGTATATCGAGTTATTATGTAACAGGAAAGATAACATTTTAGGTGATGATTCCTTCCGTATACACTGTAAAATGTGTATGTCGAAAAATCTGATTTATTATTATAGGTCAGTGAAACAATATGGCCTATTTACTGATTCGAAACAAAAGACAAGAGCGTTAGAAAAGCAAATATATGTATTTTTTATGCAATAAAACGCTATATATATGTACAAAGAATCATAAATATGTCATAGGTGATTGGTGTAAATTAGTTTGTAGGTCATTCGCTCTTTTTTTTAATCAGGATCTGATTATGTCTTTGATTCCAGTACATCATATCAGAATTAAATGAAAATTGGTCTTCATTTATTTCATAAAAATGTTAGAACCTCATATGTTGGTTTTTGGATTACTCATATGTCGTCACGATGAACTGAAAAATAAATTGAGGTAGATTTTAATCTGATACTATTACAACTTCCAACACTTTAGAATTTGTCTTGATAATTTCATTTCACTGCACTGATTAATATCAGTCAGTCAGTCAGTCAGATGCAACGTAGAACTTCGTACGTAAGTGCATAAGTTCATGTTGCCATACCACATTAGCACAAAAATGTAATTGTCAATTCAAATCCAATAGTAGAAGAGGTAGTGAAGGTATTAGAAGTAATCGGAGAGGTTAGGATTAGAAGATATTATTCAGGAAGTATGATTTAATGAGAAAAGTTTAGAAAGTCAAAACTAGAGTTGTTGAAGAATCCAGAAGATTAGGATTTGAGAGAACACAAAGAATAAATGCACCGGCGCCAATGCGAACGATTTTGAGCCATGTCATTCAAGGTCTCTAACCATCGATTATTATCATCTCGCACTGATTAATATAGTTTGGCAATTTGATGAACTGATACATACACATAGCTCTCCAATACTTATGTTGCTTATGACTGACTGACTAACTTCAGACGATTTATACTTCCTTTACACAGATGCTTTTGTTTTCTTATACGGAGACATTTCACTTTCCTAATTATGAACAGTGTATAATGCTGTACTTCATAGTTAATAAATTAATGTCTATTTAGAATTGCGTCTTAAAGATTATATATATATTTAACATAGAAAGTACTAGTTCATAGTGTTTCCCTAAATCGATGTTGTTGTATAATCAATAGTTGAATGAAATTTAAACTTATTTAGTAAATATGAATTATCTAGTGATTTGCAGTGGCAAAACAATTTTGACTAACAAGTAAACAAACTGTGATTAGCATTTTGTTTTGGTTAGCAAAAGTTTTATTGGTGCATTGGTTCTTGTTATTTTTTTAGACACGTTTTGATGCAGAAATGGACTACTACTACTACCACTACTAGTAGTAGTGTAGTGAAGGAGAACACAGGTAAGGGCAACCGGATTGTATTTAACGAAAATTACAGAGTTACTCAGTAAAATCGGAAAACCATATCGTAAATCGTTAATTTGCAAAATATCAGTTCATCATATCGAACTGGACTGTTCCTGTTGCAAAACATCAATCCATTGTCACTATTCGTGCGTTTCATACAAATTCCATTGTTTTCGAACTCTTCCTTTCTTGATCTTCCCCCATCTTCGGCTTCCAGACATTACGTTGACGCTCACGTCATATACTACTTATAAGTAGCTCACACCACAGTAGTAGCAGTGTTATTGGAAAAACATTATTTATACTGGGTGTCACCCATCTCTTACTTCAAGATCTCAAATCATCTTGTGTTTGATTATTAGTGTTAACTTTAGATCACTAGTCTGGTTCCATGGTAGGTTTGGAAAAACGGGTAACATCACTCACTAGCCATCACAGACTAAAATATAGGACTCAAGTAATAAGTACACGAATCTGTACTTGAGTTGTATCTCTTGCTTTATGTATAAAAAATTTTCTTTAGGAAACACTGATAAAAAAAGTATTCTATTGATCGGTTATTTTTGCATTTTTTCAAGAAGGCATATTCTAAGTCCTACAGACATTAAAATAATGCTCTAATAACAAAATGTAGTCATAGTATACTAATTCTTTGATACCCTTTGGACCCTTAGGATCATCTAGAGTAGGAGAATACCTTATAGCTAAGTACCTTGATATTTCTCGTAATTTAATTTGAGCACCATGCCACATTCACTGTAGTTGCATGAGATGCACCTTTTTTAGTCGATAATAATTATTTTAAGAACAAGGTAATGATGACAATTGTTACTTAGTTTTTGATGATATACGTGTTAACCTTCATTGATTGAGCACTGAATTTCGTGGAGAAAACAAAAAGTTAGTCACTCAATTCTAGATGACTCATTTAAGGCCATCAATTATATTATACTTATACTAAAAATTTTAACAAAAGGGAAATTAGTCACCACAGTTACTAGGCCTATACTCTACAAAGTATCTCGGACAATATACTTCAGTGATAGTCGTTCTCACTTTGATATGAGTTGTTGTAGTCGGTTCTTCTCTTGTAGAGTATTATTCCGACGAATCGTTGTCATATTTCGTTTAGAACCTTATATGAAACATTCGGTTCTGAGTTACGGACATTTTGTGTGAGGGCTAAGGAAAAAGGGGTTTTAGACCTAAATCTAATTGTTGACTGTAAAGCATTGTTACTGTAGTGAAGGAGGACACAGGTGAAGGCAACCCAATTGTATTTATCTCACATTACAGAGT